ACATGCACTGTAACTAAACCCATTAGATTTTAGCCGACTAAATTTACTGTAGATTTGGTCGACTAAAATCTTATGATATTTAGTCGACTAAAACTAAAAACAATTCAGATAACTAAAACTAAATGGCATTTTAGTCAAAAGACTATGACTAAAACTAAATCAAAATTTGCTGTCAAAATTAACACTGCTTCCTAGGTGATTCCCCAAACATTGAAGGGCAATATTACTTTACTTTCTGTTGTGTAATGCCAGTGTAGTTTTTTTGGTACAGTTTACCCCCCAAAAAAATTTTTTGTCATCATTTACTCACCCTCATAATCTTGCAAACCTGTATGATTTTATTCTGTGGAACATAGAATACATTTTTAAGAATGTTGGTGACCATTTACTTCCATTGTATGAACAAAACCCCCCACAGATTTTTCTCAAAGTCAGTCTTATTTTAGTATAATTTATATGCTATTACAGTTTTTATTAATGTTTTGAATTACTCGTTTAATATTTTCAGTTTTCATTCTAATTTTAGTTTCATTTTATGATTTTGTCATTTTTATTAGTTATATGTATATTTTCTTAAAAATAATCCTATTTTGGTTAATTTGTTTTATTTCAGTTTTAGTTTTTATTTCAATATTTCTAGTTAGTTTCCAGTTTATTGCTTAAACTTACTTTAGCTCAATTAACATGTTTATGTTTAGTTTTAGTTAATGATAAAATAACCCTGCTCAAAATAACATCTTTTGTGTTCCACTGAAGAAAGTCAGTCAAATAGGTTTGGAATGACATGAGTGTTACTAAACGATGACAGAATTAAATTTTTGGGTGAACTATCCCCTTAATATGGTCCACAGTCTTAATTACAGTGATGTAACCTTAACCTAGTGTGCCACCCTTCAAACAGACACATTTCCTGTATTATGGCCAATAATCATCATGAATTTGTTAACTGTTTCTCTTCATTTTATTTCCCTTTAGGTTATAGGCTAAATATTGATATCATCAAATCACAGTGTAGCTGTTTTAGTACACACTCATGCTTTTACAGTAGACTCTTCAAAATGCAAATAAACAGGTGGAACGTTACAAAACTAAAGTGCTTATTGTAAATAAAGTGACAATCAATTTGGTAAAAGTGCGAGCAACCAATGTAGAACAACATAGAAAATAACACAACAAAATAATTTTTATAACAGTAGTGTTGAAGGTAATATTTGAGATGCATGTGATTGAAAAAGTCAAGATAAGCTCAAAGAAAGATTGGTGTTTACTCTGAAGAGCTTCCTGTGATGTGCAGGAGGAAGATAAAGATCTGGACGATATCAACATAGAGGGAAAGAGCTCCGAAGACATATTCCTCAGGGCTGATGGTGTTCGCTCGGTTTCCAATGAGCAACTGAGTGTGGTAAGCCAAAAACTAGACAAAGAAAAGCAATCATTAAGTGTTCCCTTGTGAAAAACTGTTCTTAATTGTATTGAATGTGTACTTTAAGCCTTAGAAGTATATATATATATATATACATTATATATTTAACTACTTGCAGGTAATATAATATTAATGAAATAAAAGGCCACTAAGGTGCACTTTAGTCAAGTACACTTTCACGACTGTGTTCCTTAAACTTAATTACACTTCAAAAGTGCACTTTGTAATAATGTCAAAAGTTTTAAAGTACATTTTAAATGATTGTTTTAATAATCTTTTGTCATGCTTGAAGTACACTCAATTTAAAGTGTTGACTAAAATACTAAAGCACATGTAAATTACTTGACCATAATTTTAACTGTAGTGTAATTTCATATTACTTATAAAGTTAATATATTTTAAATGTACTAAATTGCAAATCATAAATTTGTATTTACAATTATGTGTAAATACAGGAGACAATTTTCAATAGAAATGTCATTTAAAGTAAATATTAGTTACTATAAATGCATAATTATGATTATGTAATTATGAATTTTCATTTAAAGATGTACTTCAGTCCTACTCACCCCTAGTGGGTCAAAAAACACTCTAAAGTTAAGCTAATTGCATTTAATATGTGTCATTTATTGTGAATAACGTGTATAAAACATTACATTCAGTTCACACTTACATATATTCTTTTAAAGTATGTCTTTTTCCCATAATGAGTACTCCTTTTTTTTTTTTTTTCACCTGGGTTGGGATTCATTTTCAACAATTATGGCGAATAACTTAAACAACATTAAATTTTTTATTAACTCACCAAGGTAAAGACTATTGCTCCACAAGCACCATACAGCATATGCAGCCACGGCACCTGAGACATTGATGAAATAGGAACATTGTCACATAACAGGTATATTACCGGTTAATCACTCATAAGACAGGATATAGGCCTTACTTTGCAAAGACAAGGTTGGTATGCAATTCTGCCACATCAATTTCATGATAATATGTGTAATGTTTGTCAAATATGCAGCTGTCAGACTGTTTTTGACTCCACTGTCTTCAACAATATTCACCCTAGTCTTATTTTGAACAATTCTGGGTCCTCTTGAGGCCTTGCTGAGGGCCCCCGGTTGAGAACCGCTGCCTTAAAAGAACAATTTACACATAAATTATGCTTCAATCATCCTCCCCCACCCATATTCTGATATTTAATAACTTTCAGTCTGTTCCCAACACAATGCTATTGTATGACGTGGGGCGTATAGACTAGTTTAAAGATTTGATGCTATTTTATTATTTTGACTGTCGTTGAATGGCAAGAGTGTAATGATTCATTTCGGGGGGGGGGACTGTCACTTTAAATGTCATGGATAAACTTTTGCGACTGTTTATTTATACTGCCCACTTGCTTCCATTGTAACTGCGTTACTGCAATGTGTTTTCTGTTGTTTTTAACAAACTAAGGGACAAGTCAAAAATATTTTCTGTGGCCAAATTTTCACAGCATGCCAAAAATGTAGGCACTGAAAATAACAAAGTATTCTTTTAAATCAGAGGTTCACCGGTCGCCGTGATTTTGCCAAGTAAGACATGTTCCTGGATCAACATCTTTTGTTGATCCTGGATCAACATAACAGTCCAAAAATATAGACTTAACCCAATCCCTACCCCTAAACCTAACCCTACCCATAATTTATTCCTAAAATCAGTGTGAAATGATAGCTGATTAACAAGGGTGTAGAAGCACCTAACCCTGACTGTAAGCCTAAAACAAACATTTCCTGAAAGGTTATCCCTCAATTCTGATTGGTTAATTGGAATGTTGTTCCAGGATCAACAAGGATGTTGATCCAGGAACATGTTGTACTTGGTGAAATCACGTTCACCGAGGTTCACCACACCCCATTGTCCAACACTCATATAATATAAATTATAATATTTCTTCCAGTATGTTCTGCTTTAATCATGATAAAGCTGCATGTTTTCAAACATTTCTATTAGCTGGGAGTGTCAATATATTACATTAATCAATTTAGAAACTGTATTTTCTTTATATTAACCCTTTCATGCATGAATTAGGGAAAACATTGTCTGGATTTTTTTATGATTCTTTTTATTACTTTAATATGATGCTAAAATTGAAATCCATTTTCATTTTTACAAAATTCTGTTTTATTTAAAAATTATTTAACTGTCCACTTGTGTGGACACCATGCAACAAAGGCGTAAAATGGGACATAAAGCCACAGCTGACAATATGGAATATTGTGTTTTTTTAAGGTATGTTATGCTATTTATATCAGCTCAGTTATTAAAAACAATAAAATTACAATATAATAACAATAAAACACATTGTAGCAACAATAACAGTAGTTGCATATATGCGGAAACCTATTAGCAATATGGGCAAATCATGGAAAGCATTCCCTGCTGATTGTAACAACTTATTATATTTTCATCCTTATCTTACTTCATGTTGAATCATCTCAGTTATAGTATACCAACATCTAAAATGTAACAACATAGTTTTAGTTAAAACTGATTTTATGTATGTGTAAAGTTGCCATTTAAAGGAGTAGTTCACTTTCAGAATGAAAATTCTGTCACCATTTACTCACCCCCCACTTGTTCCAAACCTGTATGAGTTTCTTTCTTCTGTTGAACACAAAAGAAGATATTTTGAAAAATGTTGGGATCTGAACAGTTGATGAGCACCATTGACTTCCATAGTATTTTTTTTTCCTACTATGGAAGTCAATGGTGCTCATCAACTGTTCGGATCCCAACATTTTTCAAAATATCTTCTTTTGTGTTCAACAGAAGAAAGAAACTTATACAGGTTTGGAACAAGTGGGGGGTGAGTAAATGGTGACAGAATTTTCATTCTGAAAGTGAACTACTCCTTTAATGCTGTAATATGTAATTTTAAATTGTTATTTATGTTGATATATTTGTTAAATGTCTGTTTTATTACAATATAAAACAATTCATAACATCTTTGAAAAAATAGAATAGATATACTAGCAGGTTACAGAAATCAGACTTTATGCAATCTGACTCCACTGTTGCATGACGTCCACATACGTGGACAGTTGGTTTTTGGTGAATAAAAACTACATTTTACTCTAAATTTTAGTTTATAAAATACTAACATATTCATCATACTTCACTGTACATACTAATAACTTTTTTTACCTCAATTGACCTCCTTGTATAAAAGTTTTTCACAGATATGTCTGCTGGCATCGCTGTCAGCCATCTTGGATTAATGATGTCATCAAGCAATGAATATTTGGAATGCAAGATAGTAGCCACTGTTACAAAATTGCTGTCAATCTACTGACACTGCCCTCAAGTGGTTTGGAGAAAATTACCATGATAAATGAACCCTAAATGGAGTTAAATTAACTGTCCACAAATGTGGACACCATGCATGAAAGGGTTAATATAAGAATATCCTTTATAAGTTTGCAAAGGCCCCTTGAGAACCACTGCTCTAAACTTTCAAATCATCTGCAATGACTGAAATAATGACATAATGGCCTCACTTACATATTGAAATGAGAGTACAATGGATGTGATAATGCCAATCACCAGAAGAACCACACAAAGAGCACAGAGCAGACCTGTACAGGAGGTGAAGTCAACCTGTTCAAATGCACAAAACAAAGCAAAAAAAACTCAGTAGTCGCAAACTGTAGAATGTAATGAATGTAAAAAAGTAGATTTCACAAGTAAAATGGGGAGAAAATATTACACAAAAGCAAAAATTGATCCAGTAAAAAGCAGAGCTCACAAAAAACAGTTTTGTCTCAACTAAGCATGAGACATATCAGTAAGCCATGAATGTTTAAAAAGAGACAGACGATCATTGTAATCAAATACAATGGGGTTATTTTACACGGGGAACAAAGTGGCATTCACCACCGACCAGTCGATCAGAGCTTGGGTTCTGCCACAGCAGGTCTTACCTTGGTTTGAAAACAGAAGATTGTGACGATTATACACACTATTGCTGTGATCCCCAGGGCTAGGAACACTGCTTTGGTGTCAAAATAACTGTAAATAATGCCAAAAAAACCAAGAGCTTATCTGATGTTTAAAACCAACCACATGCAGTGTGTGAAACTGAGGAAACTCTAGTCTTACCTTGATATTGTTCCTGTCATGTAAGATAACGTAAGGGTCTATGGAGGACAAAAAACATGTTTGGTCAGTTATAATGAATAATTCAACGTGAATGCCTATGAAAGCATAGTTAAATGCAATCATCACTTACAAAAATGAACAGGAGTATTAAATTCCATGGATGACGTCTCCTAAAAACCAAGTCAGGATTTCCATTATTAAATAGATATTCTGGTGCTTATAATGTAAAGAGTGAAAAACTGACTAAACTCACCTCGGCCCCTCACAGCAAACCAGCATAAGGTAAGTAACAAGATACACCGGGCTGTTGGGGGAAAGAAAAAAAAGTCACCGTTACTTCAATATAATATACATATTCAAAAGTTTGGGGTCAGTAAGTTGTTGTTTTTTTTTTTAAAGAAATGCTTTTATTCAGCAGGGAACCATTAAATTGATCAAAAGTGACGGTAAAGACATTTAAAATGTTACAAAAGATTTCTATTTCAAATAAATGCTGTTCTTTTGAACTTTCTGTTCATCAATGAATATTGATTTCTGAATATAATCTTGGGAATCATAAAAAACATTTAAAAAAATCTTACCAGCCCCAAACTTTTGAACAGTAGTGTAGCATAAATGATATTTGTTTTTGTCATTCATTTAGACTTGTCAGACATGACAGTAAAATAAAACTCACAATGATGCCCAATAAATGGCAGGATTTTGGACCACAAAAAGACGCACGGGCTCACTGTAAGATGAGGGATTTATGTAAACACCCATTTCATTACATTAGTATGTATAGTGTATTACATTCAGTTCATAAAAGTTCAGTTGTTTTGTGGATTTGTTGTACTCACACAAACGTGAACACCGCAATGATTGAAGTAGTGATTAACAGCTGGACGGCTAAAATAAGGTAAACCTGGAACAAAAACAACCACAAGCCAATTTCTTTACATGAAGCTGTTGCCCATTTTATTGCTACATTTTTATGTTTATAAGTCTGTAGTACTAGTTTTATTACAAAATAAATAGTCTCAATACCTTTCTAATGAAGGCATGTCGAACACTCATGCTGTCCCATACGCCAGTTGCTGAAATGCCCTCTGCATCTGCTACAACAAAACAATGAATACACAAAAACACATATTTGATCATAAAAGTCACACACAGAGGCCACCAAAAAGTACTTGGACAACTAAGTCGCATTTAAAACTGTACAGTGCCAGACATATGCCAGATACTCAACCACCTAACAAGAGTGCATGAATTATGAATAAAACATAGCTCCAGTGTTGGGAAAGTTACTTTGGAAATTTAATAGTTTACAGATTACAAGTTACCCTATTTAAAATGTAATAAGTAGTGTAATTATTTCAATTACTTTATTAATGTAACTGATTACATTTGATTACTTTTCTAAATTTCTAATGAATGTTTTCAACTGTTAAGCATTTTTAAACATTTAAACCAGGCAGGGTTAACTTTACAGTAGTACTCAACAC